TTCCAAGTCCTAGGAATGTAGATCCGTTAAAACTCGTGAGGAAGAGTTTTGTTACCTGTTGGGTTCTGCTCGGCTTAAACACGGTTTAATCGGTGGTCCAGTAAGTTTTCGATACTGGATAGTCCATACCAATAAAAATTAATTAATTATAAAAAATGTATTAATCAGCTAATTAGTTAAATTGAAATTAATATTTATACTTTTAATAAAAATTAATTATAGAAAAAATGTATTAATTACACATTCAATCTGTGCTCTAAAAACACAAAATAAAAAACCCTTACTTAAATCCACATTATGATTAATATAATCTTGTTTTAAAATTTGTGTGCGAATTTTGCATTTGCTGAGTCGAGCCACATTGTATCAACTAATGGCCAACCTGTAAAAACTTTCTGGAATTGAGGCCAACCAAGCAGGCCATTAAGGAATGGTGTGGGAAGATTTTGAACCATTGATTTGTGTGGGCCCACCGGCCCAAAACGCGAAAGGCAATATCGTCAGCCGGAGTTGCGGTTTGGTTTGATTTGGACTTCAATTTAGCTTCAAGCCCAACTTACATGAACAAGATAAGGTCGTGCATATTGGGCCTAACAAGACGCGCCCGACCCACATAAATTACACTAGAAATATGGTTTTCATCTCTTTTCTTTGGGTTAGTGTTGCAACCATTCCACTCTTCAAAAGTTACCTATTATCTTAACCACAAGTTTACGGGTTTAATTTATAGTATGTGCATATCAAAGAATAATAGGTTAAATACCCTTTTTGGTCCCTCTACTATAGCAAAAAGCCCTTTTTTAGTCCTTGTGCCGAAAAAATTCTCTTTTTGATCCTTACTGTTTGAAATCCGACTCATTTTTAGTCCCTCCGTTAAATTTTTGCTGATGTGGCAGGTTAACTAACGGAATCACTTGATTATTTTTTATATAAATGATATTATAAAAGATGTGAAAATTATGTGAATGCCACCTATACAAACCAGAATGACGTGGAAATTATTGAGCCACGTAAACTTGTTTCTGGCTTTGTAATTCAACCTTTTCCAAACCAGAATAACATGGCCCAGTAAAAATGAAAGTGTTGGCCGGAAAGTGCAGGAGGTGAGTGCCCCTAGCACTCCTCAATTAAAAATTTTACATTTTAATTCATGAATTAAATGAATTTAAATAGGATTAATTTTAATTTCTTCATCTTCTTCTTTCTCCTTATCCTTATCCTAGTCCTCATCCTCATCCTCATCCTCGGCATCATCATGTCATCAACATCCTACTCGTCATCCTCTTCATCATCCTAGGTTACTCACAGAACCCCCTTGCTAGGGTCCACAAACCCAGATTTGGGTTCCTCGAACCCAATTTCTAGGTTGCTTGCAGAACCCTCTTGCTGGGTTCCTCAAACCTAATTTTTTGGGTTGCTTGCGAAACCCAAGAAAATGAGAAATTATCCTCAAATTTCTCTATGTCTCATCAAAATTGTTTTACAAATGAGATAGGCCAATAATGCAGTAGAATTACCAATAATCACACACAAGATCGGGTCACATTCTTAATAAAATTGAACAAAAATCACAAAAATAAGATCTAAGCATCAAAATCTGATCTAGTAAAAAACAAATTGATGCCTCACTGTGCCATAAATTTGTGCGAAATGAGAAGAAAAGATATAACGTTGATTCATATGGCTTAAAACTCCTCTAGTAAGGAAAATCAATCTACAGATCAAATCTGATTAGAAAATGAAAAAAGTGATTCAATGCCTCAATGTAGCAGAAACTGGGTTCCTTGAACCCAGCAAGCAAGGAACCCAGAAACTGGGTTCCACGAGGAACCCAGAAACTGGGTTCCACGAGGAACCCAGATCTAGGTTTCGCGAACCCAACAACTGGGTTCCACAAACCCAGCAATTGGGTTCCGCGAACCCAGCAACTGGGTTCTGCAAACCCAGCAAAAGGGTTTTGTGAAGAACCCAAACTAGGTTTGCGAACTCGCAAAGAGCCTAGTAGCTGGTGAGGATGAGTATGATGCCAAGGATGAAGAGAAAGAAGGTCAACGTAATCTGTAACTCTTCCCACATCGCTTCAGGCCTAGAAATTTATCAATGTTAACGAAGAAGACAAAAACGATTAAGAAATTAAAATTAATCCTATTTAAATTCATTTAATTGAT